AGTTGGTGATGTGAGATTGGGAGTTAGCAGAGAGGTTAGGGCAGGATAGGTAGATTCAAGAATCATTAACTTAGAGATGAGAAAAGGGCTGATGAGATTCACCAAGTGAAGTAGTATAGAAGAAGAAGACCAGGACAGAACTCTGTCCTGTGATACTTACGGTTAAAGGGCATGATCTGGATAAGGATTCAGTAAAAGAAACTGAGAAGGAGCAGTCAGATAGGTAAGAGGAGAGTATGGTGCCCCAAAAACCTAGAGAGAAGAGACTATCAAGGAAGACAGGGTAATCAACAGTGTATTGTATATGTCTATTATAAGTCTACTATAGATGGCCTTCTCAAGGAGTTTAGCCACAAAGGGCAGAAGGGATATGTAAGAAGATTCTATGGTCCCAGAGACAGCTTTTTGGTTTTTTTAGGGAAAGCTAATTCCTGTCAGAAGAGGGAAAGAGGGAAGGATCTAGGGCTTGGATCTCTTCATCTGGTGGTTGGGACAAAAGAAGCTACATCAGGTGAATGTTAGTAAATACTAGTGCTATCACACCTGGGGTGTTCTTCATGCTCAGGTTTGCTTTTAGTTCTGTCTGCCCCTGCTCATGATCAATACCTTTTCCCCAGGATGTGATTGTCAGAAAGTTTTCTTGTTACAGTTGACTGGCTGGATGTGGGGAATACCCCTCAAGGCAAGACCCATTTTTAATTCTTCCCAGCAGCAGTATAAAATAAATCGTGCACTTTATCAACAATACACCACCCTAGCAGAGCTCTATTTTATTTTATTTTTTAAAGAACCTGTGATTTCATTGGTTTGTGGAACTTTCATTAAGGAAACTCCCTCAACGACTATAGGTCATTTCCTACATTACAACTTATAACCCTACAGGATTTCCTGGAGCACTTAGAGGTTGTGATTTGCCCTAAGTCACACAGTCAACAATAACAACAAAAATAGCAAGTGCTTCTTACTAGGAATTGTGCTAAATGCTGGGGATACAAAGAAAGGCAAAACCAGTCCTTTTCTTCAAGAAGCACACTTTCTAATGGGGGGACTCAACATGTCAATAGCTAGATGCAAAGAAGATATGCATAGAGTAGATGGAAAGTCATCTCCGAGGGGAGGAGTAGAGAGAGAGAAATATGGAGGGGATGGCAAAGTTGGGGTGACATTTGAGCTGAGTCTTGTAGGAAGCAAGGAAGACTAGGAGATAGAAGTCAGTGAATACAACATTCCCCTGGACATGAGGAACAGTGAGTACAAAGGCACATAGATGGGATGTGTTTGAGGAGCTGGAAGTAGATTAGAGTAGCTTGCTGGATCACTGAGTACATGGAGGGGAGTAACAGGTAAGAATGTTGAAAATAGAGGAAGGGGCCAGCTTATGAAGAGGTTTAAATGATGAATAGAATAATTTATATTCAATGCTGAAATTAATAGGGAGCCATTGGAGCTCATTGAAGAGCTGGAAGGGGGAGCCATAGTTAGATCTAAGATTTTGAATGCCAGTAGGTATCAGAGGCCAAACTCAAGCACAGGTTTTCCTAACTCTCAGGCCAGTTCTCCAGCCATTATACTGCCCTGCCTCTCCATATAACTCCAAATAGAAATCTCTATTATCAATGAAAATAGTAAAGTTATGCCCAGGGTTCTAAAAAACAAATCACATGTATTATACTTCAATGAGAAGTCTTAGGTCTTGAGTTACTGCTCTGACAGGCCCTGTGGGAACAGTATTGTCTCAAGTCTTGGATGTTGTGATTGCTTACAGGGTGCAGAATCAGAGTTCTGTGATGGGAACAGGAGTGCAGTACCCGTCAATGACAGGGACTATGATTATGTAATGGATTCACTCAGAACTCATCAATGTGAGTATTATCTCTTTGAAAATTTGCCACATTTTGTTGTCCATAGTTCTTCAGGTTTTCTATCTACCAGATCTAATCCCTTACATCTATTCTTCACTTTTGCTTCATATTCATAAGGGATGTTATTTAGGTCATACCTATACAGTTTGATGGTTTTCCCTACTTCAATTTAAATCTAAAATTTTCGATAAGAAGCTCATGATCTGAGCCATAGTCAGTTCCAAATTTTGTTTTAACTGACTACATGGAGCTTCTCCATCTTTGGTTGCTAAGTATATAATCAATCTGATTTCGATATTGACCGTCTGGTGATGTCCGTGTGTAGGGTCACATTTTGGGTTATTGAAAAAGAGTGTTTGCTATGACCAGTTATCTTGATAAAACTCTATTAGTTCCTGCCCTGCTTCACTTTGTATTCCAAGGCCAAACTTGCCTGTTACTCTAATTTTTTTTTTTATTTTGTATTTTAGCATTCTAATCCCCTATGATGAATGTGACATCTTGTGTATGTGTGTGTGTGTCTGTTATTCCTAGCAGATGTTGTAGGTCTTCATAGAACCAATCAACTTTAGCCTTTGGGGTATCAGTGGTTGGAGCATAGACTTGTATTATTGTGATGTTGAATGGTTTTCCTTGGATTTGAAGAAATATCATTCTGTCATTTTTGAGATTGGATCCCAGTACAGCTTTTCTCACCCTTTTATTGACTATGAGGGCTATTCCATTTATTCCAAGGGATTCTTGCCCACAGTAGTAAATGTAATGATCACCTGAATTAAATTCACCCATTCCTGTCCATTTAAGTTCACTGACCCAGATATCAATGTTTAATATTTCCATCTCCTATTTGACCACATCCAGCTTGCCTTGGTTCTTAGATTTATATTCCAGGTTCCTATGCAATATTATCTTTACAGCACTGGACTTTCCTTTTGTTACCAGACACATTCACAGCTGAGCTTTCTTTCAGCTTTGGCCCAGCTGCATCATTAGTACTAGTACTTAATTAGTCGTCCTCAATTCTTCCTCAGTAGTGTATTGGACATCTTGGGACCTGAAAGTATCATCTTCCGATGTCATCTCTTTTGTCGTTTTAATACTGTCCATGGGGTTTTCTTGGCAAAGATACTGGAATGGTTTGCCATTTTCTTCTCCAGTGGATCACCCTTTGTCAGAACTTTCCATTATGACCTGTCCATTTTGGGCAACCCTGCATGGCACAGCTCATAATTTCTTTAAGCTATGCAAGCCCTTTACCCATCCATCCACCTATCTATCTATCTATCTATCTATCTATCTATCTATCTATCTATCTATCTATCTATCTATCTATCTATCTGTCTATATCTGTCTATCTATATTGGACCTTTTTTCTATATTTAACTCTCATGGCATATCAAAGGAGCTAGAAAGGATATTAGAGATCATTTAGTCCAACCTTCTCATTTTACAGAGAAGGAAACTGAGGCCCAGAGAAGTAATTTGCCCAAGGTCACAAAAGTAGGTAGTAGAAGAAGGTGGATCTCAACCCAATTGCTCTGACTCCAAATCCAGGGCTCTCTTCACAACATGAGTGGATGCTACTATCAAGAAAATATAAAATGAAAAGAATGTAGGCATAAACCAGCCTAAGAATATTAGAACAGTTAGGGAATGGCTAAACAAGCTCTGGTACATAATTGTGATGGAATAATATTGTGCTTTAAGAAATGACAAGCAGGATGATTTTAGACCTGGAAAGATTTACATGAACTGATACAAAATGAAGTGGGCAGAATCTTACGTTGTACATAGTGACAGCAATATTGTACGATGAAGAACTGTGAATAACTTAGCTATTCTCAGCAATACAATGATCCAAGGCAATCCCGAAGGACTAGTGATGAAGCATACTTTCTGTCTCCAAAGAAAGAACTGGTATTGTTTAAATGTATGTTTGGAATATGCTATTTTTCACTTTCTCTCATCCTTTTTCTTTTATTGGAGTTCTCTTGTATAAAATGACTAACATGGAAATGTTTTACATGACTGCACATATATAACCTATATCTGATTGCTTACCATCTTAGGGAGGGAGGAGGGGAAGAAAGGAAGGAGAGAGGGATAGAATTTAGAACTCAAAACTTTTTTCAAAATGTTAAAAATTGTTTCAACATGTAGTTGGGGAGAAAATTAAAAAATATATATATACATATATACATATATAAATATATCTATATCTATATCTTAAAAGATTAAAGGAAAAAAGAATATTAGAATAGCAACATATTGGCAAGTGTGGTAAAGCACAAACCCAGGATCAGAGAGTGGGAGAGGCAGGGCTAGGCTGACTGTAGTCTGGGTCACTCTGTTTCAGTTCATCAAATCTCTCCTCTGGGATTTATACTCTTAAGCGTTTTTATTCCTGCGTTTGCCATTCTATGGAAACTTCATTCCTAATGCCTTAGCTGCCTATGAGGGCTGTAGGATGGGGAGGGATGGTGGGATGAGAAGGAAAGTTTGCCACAACCTATTGATTGGCTCCCCAGAAAAGTATACACTCCAAAGTTCTAGTCCTGGAGCTCAGGGTTTTCAACACCATAACCCCAACCTATATTTTCACTTTTTTCCCCTCTCACTACCTCCCCACATGAATCTTTTGTTGTAGCCAAAATATTCATCTCACTGACTCTGAAACATGTCATGATCAATTTCCCCTTCTGCATTGCCCCCAGTCTCAGTTCCTTCTGCATCTTCTTCACTGATCTAAAACAAAATAACAACATGTATTTGTTAAGCATTTGCTGTGCGCAGAGCACTGTACTAGATGCTCAAGGAGATAATGATTTTAGTTAAGACACAGTCCTAGCCCTTATGGAGCTTACATTCTCATAAGATGCTGTCAGCAGTAGCTGAATACATAATATTGCATTGTAAGTACATTAGAAAGTTATAAATAGGGAAGATGGAAACAGGTCTCGGTCGCCCCGGTAGAATTGGGCACTCCCAAACTGGTAAAAGCCATGCATTTTTATACGATTCTTATCTGGATCCAGCAGACATTGAGGGGAGGGAGCAGGGAGTCTACACCATGGGGAACCAGACAATTAACGATTAGTTAATAGTCAAATTCCCTCCCTCCTGTGGGGGAAAGTCTCTTTTGACCTTCAGCCAACTGTTGCTGAAAACCTTATTTTGACAGGGTTTTGACTGAGGGATTTGAAATTCCTCTGGGCTTCTTTAGGTACTTACTTTGTAGGAAGGCTACTGAAGTCCTAAGACTCTGGCACTGTGGTTAGCACTGGGGATACAAATACCAGCAAGCAAGACAATCCCTTCCCTCAAGAAGCTTACATTCTGTTGAAGGAAGGCTGCATATAAAAGAGAACTGGAAAGCTGTCAGGGAGGTGAACGTGCCCAGATATTGATAGCAGCACTCTGTAGTGCCGAAGAACTGAAAACCGAGTGGGGACAGTATACACTATTGCTACAGCAGTGTAAATGAAATTAAAAGTCAAACTCTGATTGACAAGAAAAAAAAAACCCTGAAGGATTTTTCAGAAGGTTAGAAGAACAAAGTTCATGCTGGAACTTTCTCCTCTCCATCTCATGACCTCCTGGTTTCCTGTAAGTCTCAACCCCTCTTAATTCTAGAGCCTTCTCTCTGTTAATTATTTCCTGTTTATCCTGTACAGTATATAGGTTGACTATATATATTCATTTATGTGTTATCTCTCTTGTTAGGGAGGGCAGCAGCTCCCTTGTTAGCTCCTGAGGGCAGGGGTTGTCTTTTTCCTCTTTTTGTGCCCAGAGCTTGGCACATAGAAGGTGCTTAATAAATGTTGATTAATTTCCCTCCCTCCACCTTCCCCCATACACATAGTAAAGACCTACGAGGAAAGAATACGGTATAATATAGCCTTTATATTAGATTTTTTTTTGCTTAACTGTTTTTCTTTGTAACAGGAGAGGATTCATTCTGGAGAAGCATGGGAAATGACTGTGATGTATAGTTAGATGAAAGACATCAATAAAATATAATCTAAAAGTAAATAAATCCTATGAACTTATTTTGCATATCCTCACCTATTCTTTGAATAAAGTTGGTGTACACTTAAATGTTGATGACATTTAACCAGGGCAATAATTGGCTAACAGGAGTGGTTGTGGTGGTGGTGGTCATGGTGCTGGTACAGAAGGCCAGAGTACAGATCTCTTGAGGGAATCGTCCCACCAGCAGGAAGTGGCCCATTCCTCAGAGATTCTAGTTTTGAGGGAAATGGTTTGTAGCAAAGGGTGGTTGTACTGTGTAGCACTCAGCAGAGCACCACAAGGTAGAGTACTCATAGTAGTCCCCAGAGGAAGAACAGTCAGAAACAAAACAGGCTTTTGAGGAGAGGAGATAAGATAAGGATAAATAGAAGAGAATAGGATGGAGGGAAATACACAATTCACAGACATAATTGTGAATATGAATGGGATGAACTTACTCATAAAACAAAAGCAGATAGCAGAATGGATTAGAAACCAGAATCCAACAATATGTTGTTTACAAGAGACACATTTGAAACAGGTGAAAATAAGGTGGCACAGAATACATTCTACTTCAGCTGAAGTGAAAAAAGGCAGGGGTAGCAATCATGATCTCAGCAAAGCAAAAGCAAAAACAGACCCAAATAAAAGAGATAATCAGGGAAACTACAGTCATACCTTGGTGATATTGTGGGTTCTGTTCTAGGCCGCCATAATAAAGTGAATATCTCAATAAAGTAAGTCACATGAATTTTTTGATTTCCTAGTACCTCTTCAAAACTGTAATATAAATGTATTATCCAGGCCGCATAATTTGGTCCTTGTTGATTACTCCTAGGTTCATAGTACTCAAGGAGGTGATCATCTGTCTTAATCCATAGCTCATGACCCCCACCCCATTTCTACTTAATCTCCCCAGACCATGCCAGGATGAAACATCTTCTATCACAGTATAGCAAAGGATATTTATTCAAAACATAATGCAATGTAAATAACAAGAAGTTAAATCAAGCAGCAAACACTCAAACCACCCATTTCCTAAAGCTATTATGTCCCCACAGATATCTTCCAGGAGAGTGATAGACTTGCCACCTGACTAACTCCTCTGGGTTTATCCAGTCACCTTCGACAATAAAATGGAAGCAGCAGCCCAGTCAATCCTGGTGGCATGCTAGGTGAGTGGCTGCATCAGCAGCATTGGCTGCTTTGAGTTTCTTCTCACAAGACTGATAGCTAAAGGCTAATCAGAACAGGACATTAAACCAAGAACTGGGAAGTATTGTGGAGGAATATGGTTACTTCTTGGCATAGCAACCAGATGAAAAATACATCAATGCCAGGTTTCAGCTGCTATTTCTTTCTCATTTCTTTCCCTGGTTCCCTTGCTCTAGTCTCTGAGTCATCTCATCCTACTATGTCATTCTCATACTCCTTTCAGACAGAGTGGCCTCAAATCTGCTGTGTTCCACACTGGCTTCTGGGAGATATGCTTCCTGAAGACACTTCCTTCTGAAACAGTGACTTTAATAAATGCTAATTGTGGGATCTTTGGGCTCAACTTGCTACAGGATATAACAATGATTCTCGATTTTCTTTTAGTAAACAAATACGTGTTGGACAGCTTGTTTGGAATGAAGAGTTGGTTTTCTTGGTTATGCAGTGAAGAAGTTTCTGGAGAGGGACCTTTGACAAGTGTACTCAGATGCCCTTTTTTTTCCCCCTCTCCCCCAAGATGCAACCTAGGTCCTTCCTGCCAAAGACACCCCTGGTAAAAGGATTACACTTACCATTCAGAAATAATTCCTTACATTTAAAGTAAATCTCTCTAGCTGCAATTCCCTCCTATGCTGGCTTGCTAGGTATGGACAACAGCTGTTCAATATGTTTATTAATGCTCTGCTTGCATTTGGAGGCAAGTTTAACTTTCCTACATGAAATCATACTTGTTTCTTTAAGTTTTCCTATTTTTCCAGCCCTTTGGTAATCTTTGTTACTCTCTTGGGGGATCGTCTCCAAATACTCTTTAAAATTTTTAGTCCAGAAAGGGAAATAAGATTTAAGACCAATGCAGATAAAAGATGCTTTTTGCAATTGTTTTATTATTATTTTTAACATCACATTTGGACAGTCTACTAATTAGTGTTCTATTTATGAGCTTGTCTTCATTGTCAGATTTATTTTTCCTGCTTAGTTGTACACTTGTGTGCACTCGTTTAAGAACATCCAGTTTGGACTAGAGAAGCTCTATTTATTTATATGTATACGTATGTGTCTATACATATATATGTATATATATGTATATACACAAACATATATATCTGACCACCACTTTCATAATCAACACACTATTTTGATTTTTGTGTAGCTTATGTTCTTAGAATTCTTTAGCTTCCTATTACATATGGTTTGCCTTCCATTTTCTTCACATTGCTCAAGGCAGCTTTACCAACCCCAAATTCTAAGTTGCCCAGCAACACCCCCTAAGTGAGTGAGCACTCCCAAACTTTGCAAGCATTGTTTTGTCCCCACCTCCCATCCTAAATATCAAAGGCACTGATGATATTGATATTAATTCCTAACCCTCTAGGAAATACCACTAAATATACTTGATCTTGAATTCATTACAATACCTTTGAATACCTCAAATCATCTTACACAAGTGCAGTTATTACCTTAGCATAATGAAGATTATGTCATAGTCATAATTCAGTCCTTTGCAATGAATAGAGCACTAGAATCAGAGACAGGAAGATCTGGGTTCAATCTGCCTCTGACCCATAACAGCTTTGTGTCCATGAACAAATCACTTAACCCTTCTGAGCTTCAATCTGTCTAAAAAAATGAAGCTAATAATAATTGTAGTACCTACCTCACCTGGTTGTTTTGAGGTTCAAGTGAAATAATATGTGAAGTGCTTCCTTAACTTTAAAGCAGTATATGAAAGTAAATTGTTGTTACATGTTGGCTCACTATTGTGTACCTGGCCATCTTCAAGGAATATTATGAGGCATATAGCTAATAAATAAGTACCAAAAGTGGGATGTGAACCCAGGTTTCCCTGACACCAATCTCAGCACTTTTTCAACTATACCATGCTAAACATGGTTTCACAGAAAAGAAGAAATATGATGGTCTAAGCATTTCAGATGTTGATACAATGCCTAGATCATCGGTGGGGACCCTGTGGCTTTGAGGCCACATGTAGCCTTCTAGGTTCTTGGGTGTGGCCTTTTGACTGAGTCCAAGTTTAACAGAACACATCCTCTTATTAAGGGGATTTGTTCTTTGAAGTCTGGATTCAGTCAAAGGGCTGCACTTGAGGACCGAGAGGGTCACATCTGGCCTAGGTGAAGTTCTGGGAGGAGTTGATGGCGTGATTGATTTAACTGAAATGAAGGCATAGATGAAGGACCAGAAATGAAAGCCTCTAGGTGGACTTTTCTAGTTAATGGAGGACTTTTGAGGCCTGGACCTGGGACTTTGGCTTTGCTGTCTTGGAAAAGTGGATGTAAAAAAGGGAAAAGAAGTAATATCATTGAAATGCTGTTGGACAAATGTCACCTGGAATAGCATCAGAATCTTTACTCCTAAAGTCCATCTGTATTACATTAGGTCTCTATTGAACACCTAGTAAGATATTATAGGGAATACAGAAATATAGAAAACATCATCCCTGAATTTAAGCAGCTTGAAATCTAGGAGGAAATAGATGACATGAATATAAATAACTACAATATAAGTCAATGTGTGATGTGTTTTCATATAGGGGAAGCATGTTGTGGAAAGAGTGATGAATTAGTTTTTGAAGTCAGGGGAGACAAAGGATTTACTAGGTGAGCTAGGCATCATGGCACACACCACTAGTCAGTGCTGTTGCAGATTGGGGCTAGTGGATCACTCATGTTCAGAAGTTCTGACCTGAAGCAGGGCTACAGCTGATTGGGTGACCTCATCGAGGCCTGCATCAATCAAGTGAATCCCTGGGAGTGGAGGGCCAACATAAGGAAGAGCAAACTTAACCAGAATGGGAAAATAGAACAAGTTAAAGCTTCCCTGTTCATTGGTATTGTGTTGGGCCTGTGAATAGCCGGTATATTTCCAATCTGGGAAAGATAAGAAAATCTAGTCTCCCAAAATCCCCAGAACCAATAACAATTTACCAGATGTGTAACTCTGGGTAATTAACTTAATCTCTCGGCCTCATTTTTTCCCATTTGTAAACCATTAGTAATTACTTTCAATGGTTGTTGTGTGAAGCAGATGAGAGAGGGGAAAATATATATATTATATATGTATATGTATGTGTATATATATATATATATATATATGTATGTGTGTATACACACTCTATATATTATAGATGTACATATTATATACACATACATATATACATACGTATATGACTTTATAAACTTTTAGCACTGTGTAAGTATCAGCTATCATTATGATATGAATGGTACCAAACATCATTGGGGAGAAATTACTTCTTCCTGGAGTGATTCATGCATGCATTCAATTCCTACATTCATTAAATGCCTACTGTGCATGGAGTACTATAGGCATGATCAAGGAAGCTTTCATGGAAGAGGGGGCATTTGAGCCATGCCTTCAAGAACAGGTAGGCTTTTGATAGGGGATTTGATAGGTAAGGGTTGGTCTCCTCTTATGTGCTTTTTGCCAAACTTTTTGGTTATTACTCACCAAGTATTGTGCAATTTTGCATGTTGTTGATTATTTAATTTTCTCTGGTGTCTTGTCTGGTTTTGAAGTTAAAGCACTAAGCTAGCATATTATTTACAGGGCTAGCCTCTCCCCACTTTAAAAAAGAGAGATACAATGTTCTCTTTTCTAAGCATTCCATCATTTCTTCCCTCCCTGAGTTCTCAAAAGTATTATCTGATGATGCTGCAGTAGCTTCCGTCAATTTCTTAAGCACTCATAGATCTGAAGGAGGAATGATATGAAAAAGTCTGTTTTGCAAGGTGTCCTGCCTTGAACACCAGCCTCCTTATTGGCTCCCATTTTCTTCTATTAGAATATGAACAAATTCTTGTGGGCACTCTTAACTAGCAGAAACATGAGACGGGGCTTATCTTGCAGTGCTGGGTTTTGCATCATGTTCAGGGTGTGGCGTTACTTTAGAAGGCTAGCTAAATAATTACTTGGTTGGAGATGGGGCAAACTGTAGATTTGCCCGGTTCTTTCTTTATCCCAGTTAGGAACCATACCAGCAGAGATGGACAGTTTAATTTGACCTTGACAATGAGCTGTAGAAGAGGGGAATTTTAGTGATCCCTGAATTAAATAGGAATCAATAGTATGTAATTGAAAAACTGCCATGGTTTTAGACTTCATGAAGAAAGGTGTGAGCCCCAAAGCAGTGAAGTGAGAGTGTTGGTGCCCTGCTCAGGCCCCGTCTGGAGCATGAGTTATGGGCATCACTTTTGGCCAGAGGAGGACAACTCAGATGGAGAGAAGCCTGGAAGTCACATGACTGAAGGGTGTATGAAGGAACTAGGAGTGGTTAGTTTGGAAAAGAAAAGACTCCTTGAAGGTCAAGGGAGTACCACCATTGCTTTCGAGCATTTGGAGGACCGTACAGGGGAGCAGCTGGATCGGTTTTACTTGGCATCAAAGGAGAGTACTAGGTATAATGAGTGGAAGATACGGAGAAGATTTCAGCTAATCTAAGGGAAACCTTCTTAATAATGAAAACTGTCCAAAAGCAGTGCTGTCCCATCGCTGGAGGTCTTCAAGCAAAGGCCTCTGTTCTTTCCCCTTTCCAATTGCATCCTTTCGATCTCTGCCCAAATATTACCTCCTACGTGCAGAAAGGAAACAAGCATTCATCAAGTACCTACTATGTGCCTTGCACTGTGCTGAGCTCTTTACAAATATTATCTCATTTCATCCTCACTATTCTAGGGGATAGGTGCTGTTATTATCCCCATTTTACAGATGAGGAAACTGAATCAGACAGATGTTAAGTAACTTGCTCAGGGTCACACAGCTAGCGTCTGTGGCCACATTTGAACTCAGGTCTTCTTGACTCCAAGCCCTCTCCATTCCACCCCCAACTCCCACCTCTACTCCAGTGCCCTATGATCTCCCACCTCCATGCCTTAGCTCACAAGGTAACATATATCTGGACTGTCTTTTCTTCCCTTTCTTTGAC